TTATGCACCAAGAGCTTGTAACACTCCAAAGAGAAAGGAAAAATTTTAATCGCATCATAAGAGTGCATTAACTGTTAACAAGCACAACTGTTGATTTTAATAACGCATTAGTAAATGTTGAAATTAACATGAACTAAGATTAGTAAATGCTGAAGAACTATTGTTCATTCTTAGTTTGTTAACTAATGTAGTTAACTAATGTTAACTAATTAACCTTATTGTAAAGTGTTACCAATATTAATATAAATTCTGTCCAGTTTTATTGTGTTACTTTCAGTAAAAGTGTGGTTATTTTATTGGCTTGTGTTTTTTTAATTCAGTATAATTTAAATTAAGTTAAATTTAAAAAGTCTTACAAAATTACTTTGTATTATTTAATAAAATAATAAATAATCATTACAAAGAATTTTCGGTTTCAGTTTCGGTTTTCGGCCAAGTGCATCCAGAATTTTCGGTTTCCGTTTCAGTCCAGAATTTTCATTTCGGTGCATCCCTATTATATTTCCAAATCTGGAATCTTGATCTTGATCTGCTCAAACAATATTCCTTAAATATTTATTATGTTTTATAGTCATAACAATGGTGTTTTAGTGGAAACTGTTTACCATGGTACATTTTTCTAGGAGAAACCTTTTTTTTTTTTTTCAAACTCCTTCCTACCTCACCCTGATCTAACACATGCTCCTTTACAGTCTTTTTTTTTTGTTCAAACTTTCCTAACATTCTGTTAAACGCTTATCTTGAGCATGTTGCATGTCCTCAGTTTTTACCAATTACACACTCACGTGCACGTCACTCACTTCTACAGCCGTCTCAATCTGTGTAGCGTCTGTCTCTAGTGTGTTCTCACAAAGCTCTTACTCAGATGATCTAATATTTACCTAATTACCATTGTCAAGTGAGCTTTAATCGAGTGGTCAGGATGAGACTAATTTTTTCATTTGGAGCTAATCCGTCGCCCTTTAACTCTGTGAGTGCATCCCACGCTGATGCTCCGAGGAAATAAAAAAATTAATACTAAATAAACAAATATTAAAAAGGCAGAGCAGGGATTCATACGTAGGCTTTAAAACTTAGCTAATATAGTGGAATATGGTGGCAGGCTGACAGCTTTAGTCTGGTTTGGCAGTAACATGTCTACTAACAAGTACTAATGACATCTCAATGCTGCTGTTTGATGCAAAGGGAGTGGTGTCCGTGGCAAAAAAATGATACAATATTCAGTATTTGTTTGAATCCATCAAACAAATTGTCCCTCGCTTCAAGTAGTTCTGTACTTCCTGTCATCTTCACCTTGAAACTTCAAACCCTTAGGGTTGTTAAACAAGAACTGATTCACATTTTGTTTAAACTGTTGCCAGAAACCATATGTTTTCTTGAAGTTCGGTTCAACAGTTGTGTTTGTTATTCCACATCCATAAACGTTAAATTCCTCCATGTGTTTTCTGTGAATCATTAAAATCTGAGTCCTTGACTCTGCCTGTTTTTATTTTAATATAATCACACCTTTTATTAGAGCTATGATTGAAAAAGTAAGATGTCGAACAGGTCTAGGGTTATTAGAAACGCTTGACCGATGCAGTGAAAAAGCATTGTGGTATCGTGTGACCTGAGAGCGCTCAGGCCGGACAGAAAGGTCATGTGCTTGAATTTTGTGATCTGTTGTTCTTGGACCATCTCCACACCTCTTGGAAGTTGTCCCGTTGGAGGGAGTTTGGTAGCCCCGCTTACAATTTCCTGTTGGTGCCTTTTGTCCATTGTGAGTCAGGGATTTTTTTATGCATATGCCATTGTACTGCACTGTTAATCATGTGATTTCACATCTTTCTAGGCTTTCTAGACTTTCTTCTGTTTATGTGGTTGACGATTGGCTCATATCATCCCCGTTCTGGAGTGTAGTGTGCTGTCTTTGTTCAGAACATCACAACGCCTACACATGTAGCAGTAGTGACTCAAGGTTTCACTGCAGTGATGATGAATATCACTTTCCATCTTGCTCTGACAGCAGCGCTGCGTTCTGTTAAACGTTCATCCTCAAAGGGCGTTCATGCCGTTTGTAGCCATCTTCTTTACTGTCATTACAGTCAAGATGTCATCAGTTTCTTGCTGCTAAAAATTGCAACTTTAGGTCGTAATAAATTAGCATAAAGCTTCTGATTTCTCAACATTGTCATGCTGTTGGACTTTTAACGCAACTAAAAATGAACCACTTTTTCAGAATGTTCTGCACTTCAGAATTCTGCAGAATTCTATGGAATGATTTTAAACATGGTATAATGTGTTAAATGGAGCGGCTTGAACTATATTTTCAGGTAGCTGAAAGCATGATCAAATTAGTTTAATAAATTAAATGATATTTAACAAACGAACATCTGTAGATCGTGCAGAACTTGTGAACAACTGACATTCCAATTCGGTGGAATCCTATGGGGCTTCCTGTGATATTCCTGATGTTTGCCTAGATATTCCAATCAGATGTTCAAACAGCGTTAAGTAGCTCTATGCGCAACGTTTTACAATTTTGAATGAATGCAGTTCTATGTTGTTAGAACGTTGATCAAACGTTTGTAAGTGGACGACACAAAAAAAGTGCTTTCTGTTGCTTTGTTAGGTGTTTTATGTGTAGGTGATGATATGAATAACAAAACCCTTTATGTTAGTGCTCATAATGAATTTACAAACTAATCTGAAAAGGTTGCTTTAGCGAGAGTTGCATACTCAAATTCGGTTATTTTTGTACAGATTTTTCATTGCAAAATCATCAGATTTTAGGATGTTTGCAACCAAGCTGAAATGTACACATTCATCAAGATATTCCTATGAGAAGTTTAAACAACGTTAAGTAGCCGTATGCGCAACATTTTACGATTTTGAATGAATGTGATTTTGTGTTATTAGAACGTTGTTAAAACGTTTGTAAACTGTTTGCAAACATTCGACAAAATATTCCTATCAGAAGTTCAAACAGTGTTAAGTAGCTGTATGCGCAGTTCAATATTTTGAATGAATGCGAATTCGCTGTTACTAGAACATTGATCAAATGTTTGTAACCGGACGGCAAAATAAAACAGTGCTTTCTGTTGCTTTGTTTGTCTTCTGCTTTGGGTAGGCAATGATGTTAATAACAAAACCTTTTGTATAATGAATGTACGAACTAATGTGAAACGGCTGATTTAGCGATGGTTGTACTTACTAAAATTCGGTAATTTTTGCACATTTCTCATTATAAAATCATCGGTTTTTAGGATGTTTACAATCAAGTGGAAATTCACACATTCGTCAAGATATTCTTATTGCATGTTCAAACAACGCAAAGTATGCTAATCTTGATCGTTGATCAAACGTTTCTAAACGGTCAACACAAAATAGAACAAAATGCTTTCTGTTGCTTCCCATTTGTCTGCTGTACACATTATTTTTTTCGTTCCCCCCTGCTGTGGCGCAATTATGAATAATTAGCATTCAGCTATGCATGTTCTACACCTGTCTTCTAACCTAAGTGACTTTTTTTCTGTACAATAGTACACACACACACATTTAATGCAAATTTATTTCCCCCCTAAACTTTGACTTTTCTCATCTCACCCTCATTTACATCAGAGAGGGTTGTAATAGTAATGTCTCAGGTTGGCTTTTTAGACTATTATTTAACTACCCTCTGCCATGTAATTTTCTGTAATTACGTTCAGCATCGTAATCATTTCATCTTCTGTTTTTTCCCCCTCTTTTGCAGTCCCTTCAGTCTGAGTATGTTCAGTACTAAAGCCGCGACCTTCCGCTAACCCCCGTCCTGTGCTGCTGGCCTGGTCCCGACCCGGTAACTGTGACCACTTATTTGCTGACTTCTTGTCGTAAAAGGGGAACGAAGCCGAAAGGAAATGTTTTGAGACTGAACTGTCAAGCCTCATGGTCTGATACGTCCTGCTATGACAGGGCTGATCTGGAATCTGCTGCATGCTGTTAAACGACACGAACTTGCCTTGGTCGTCCTTTCAAAACGTCTTTTCTTGTTTTTTTTTGTTGTTTTCTTTTAAGAGAAGATCTCCATTATGAATATACATAGTTAAATATTTTTAGATAATGAATTTTGTACTATTTTTGTCCTATTTTATCTACAGTTCTTATGCTCGACGACAAGGTTTGTTAATATTTGTGTATCTTTCGATTAGGGAATTTGTTCTGACGTAAATATCACGTTTTTGTCTCCTGAGTGTATTTACTGAGTAACATATCAAGTACGAGGGCTATATTTGAAAGGTGCAAAATGGTTCGACAGCTACGTGTCATCTTCAAAGGGATTTTCGGCCCACGAAAGCCATAAAGAGTATATGTTTTCTTCATTTGGGGGTCTAAGGGGGGTTTGTCTCTACGCAACGGGGGACGGCTAATGAGACTACAATCAATTTGTAAGCAAAATTATTTTTCTCGTGAAATTGAAGGGCTTTGTTTGTTCAGTATGAGTAACAGGATGGACTTTTTCCCCTGCCATTGTGACATCATAATGTGCGTTATTATTAAACTAATACAGATCTGAGGTTGCAGGTGTTTCAAGAGCATCAAGGGCTGTTGAAAACACAACCATCGACACTTCACTTTTCAGGAGTGTCCATTTCACCAGCAGTCTGAAATATAACATCTCCGAATGTACAAGTGAGTTACAAGCTTTTGGCTGTTGGTTTTAACATGCATGGTTTTTGCATAAAATAGCTCAAACTGCTTAAAATATACATTAACGATAACGAATATAAATGTAATTAATCGCAAACTCTAGTAAAATAGAAGAGTGTGTAGACGATGATATGCATAACAAAACCTTTTATGTTAGTGCACATAATGAATGTACAAACTAATCTGAATGGGTTGTTCCAGTGGTTGTCTCTCAAATTCAGTTATTTTAGGATGTTTACAATCAAGCGCAAATAATTTATCGTACAGTGTTCTTAAAGGTGACCAGCAGGATATAAACTAAAACCTTTGGATTATTTACTTCATGCAAAAATGACAATACATTCAGCCTCAAGTCATTCCGTACTTGACCTTATTTCTTCCCTGAATTATAAAATAAGATTTTGCGCGATTCACAGAGCTCTTTTTAATGACTGGGATTGTTGAGGTTGATGATGAAAGCACCATAAAAGTACCGCAAGTTGTCAATTCTGTGGTAAATAAAATATCTTTGCGCAATTATACAGGTTAAAAAAACAATAATAATTTGCACAAAAATAATTTAAATTTCTCAAATTTAATTAAAATCAAAAATTGCTTGTCAAAACGTGTTGCTCCAGATTTGACGTCAGTGTCGAGATGTGCAAGAAAAAATAAGTTTACGATCATGATGTCAAATCTGGCGCAAAATGTCATAAAAAAACAATTGAATGTATTTAAATGAAATCGTAGAGTTACAGTAGAAAGGAAGCATTCTGCAAATTGCAATGTACATTTCATTTTGTTCATCACACAAAGCTACCGTTAGGGCTGTCGCGATAACCGCAATATCGCAATACCGCGCTATTGACGAGCAAACCGCAGAGGAATGCAAGAACCGCAGCAACCGCGATTTTTGCGTGTTTTATTTTTTCATAAGGTTATGCCCTTCTCGTTTTACACTTCATGCATGTGGACTGAATATTAAACAAGTTAGTAATGATAACATAATGTGTACCATGCTGATTTGAACAGAGGCTCCGTAGATTTGCAAGCCTAAAGAGACAGTGAATGAGAGAGAGAGATCGACTGAGCGTGTGCGATTACTTGCGCCTGTCCTCCAGGCCGAGTCATATATATTTGTGAAAATTGGTTGTCATGTTCATGGAAAGCGAAATCTCTGTCTTAGCATCGACGCATAGCTGGTCAGCTGAGCCTTCTAAAGTGGCGCTCAAAGTTAAAATGATTTCAACAGCATGTTTCATTACGTGTGTGTGTGTGTGTATATATATATATATATATGGCGATAATACCGCATACCGCGCTATTGAGCCACTCAAAATTACCGCAAGGGAAATTCCCTCACTGCGACAGCCCTAGCTATTGTACATATTTGGTAAACTCCGGTATCGTATTTCTTCTAAAAATAGCAGAAAGTACTTATATGGTGCACGTTTGGATCTCAGCAGCCTTATTTTTATTGAATGGAAAAGAGCAGCGTGAACATTCCTCCGAATATCATCTTTTGTGTTCCACAGAGAAAAGTCAGTCATACAGGTTGATATTAGTTGAGTAAATGATGACAATTTTCATTTTGGGGTTAAACTAACCTATGCGTTTCTCTTTGAACAAATACCCCAGTGCAAATTTATGCAATTATATCTCGATGATTGACTTTTCTGCATCTATTAGTCTTGTAGCACTCTGTACATTCCAGATGGTGTTATGAATTATGTGTGTATATATATATATATATGTTGTGGGAGAATCTTATTTGAAGTATTCTACCTCTTTGACATATACATGATGTAAACTAATCTATTGCTTATAAAAAAAATATAAATATATATTTTTGGAGCAGTGTGTAAAGAAAATCTAACAATGTTAGAGCTGTGTTTGCTTTTCACAGACATACTGAATGGACATTAAAATTCCAAGTAGTGGGTTGTACATTATTCTTTTACAATGTAAACACTATTTCAAAGACCAGGGCAAATAAAAGACTAATTTTGCTTTAGTTTGTTCATTTTCTTTCATAATTACTCTTAAGTGCAGATTTCCAATTAGTCTACAATAGGCAAGTAAGTGCTGTGCAGGTTGTTTAAAATACCCTTTTTCTTAACGGCTCCACAAAAGTAAATTAAGTGCCAACTATACTATAATGCCAACTCTCCCTGAAAACCAACAAAGTGTGAACTGCAAAAATCGTCACACATTTGTGAACTGAAGTCTCATTTTGAGTCTATCTGGCAGCAGGCGTCGGGCCGTGTGCGGGCCGTGGGCGTTTGGAGACAGCTGTGAAAATGGCTGCTAGTCGAGTGACTGTTCACAGCCATGAATTCGGGAAGTATTTCAAAATGCCACTTTAATTTCTTCACAATTAGATGCTTGTATCTGTGTCGTGGATTTTCTCTTCTAACGTTACCCATTTTCTGAAAACGGTTTTGTAGTCCCAGAATGTTCTACTAAAGAAATCACTCAATCTTAGAGATGTAATTGGCCTTTAGTTCAGTTATGGTACTTGAACATTATAGCTGTCGTAGGTGTAATATTTAATTGAAACCGTGGCCTCGTGTTTTCCCGAGCCCTTTCATTCAGCTTATGATGATGGTATAATGTCTGTCTTTGAATGCACATTAAACTCGATAATCAACTCAAAGCAAATAGCAGGTTTCAAGGCTGCTGCACTCGGTATAATAATAGTGCTCAAGTATCTTTGAAATGGTTCCGGAAAGGCAGCTTGACAAAACTGTCATGGTTGTTATTTCTATACTATACATGATTGGAGCTCTTGAGAAACGGATTTAGAAAATACACACAAACGAAAAAGCTTGAAAGTGCTCTCTTCCGCCGATGCAACACTGTGCATTATTATGCACTCAGTCGATTTAATCTACAGCCCGAATACCCTAATTTTCACGAACAAATGACCTTTAAGATGTTTTTAGTGTGTCAAAACATAAAACGCGATCAGTGTAGTTTGATTCCTAAACGAATAAATGACTATGAATCGGTTCTTTTAAAGGGATAGTTCACCCAAAAATGAAAATCTGATGTATGTCTGCTTACCCCCAGGGTATCCAAGATGTAGGTGACAGTTCACTCCGACATGGCAGCTTTTCACAGGTAATATCAAGCTGGAGTGTGAGTGAGAGACTCTGTGTGTGTGTGTGTGTGTGTGTGCATTTGTATGTGTGTGTATTTGTCATCCTCTGCGACCTTTGAGAGATCCTGGGACAATGAACACCTTTATTCCCAGCAGACCGCCGCTAACACCACATCATCACGATGCCAGGTGGAGTAATGAAGCGTTTTCTTTGGAAGCAAATGAAAGAGCTATTTTTGTAATCCGTGTCATGCCACATCATTGTGAGGAAAATGATTCATTTGTTTACTTATTTGTGTTTTTTTTTTTTTTTTTTTTTTTTTAGTAAATCAACATCATACAACTTGACCAGTGTCGTCTGGTTCTCGAATGCACAAACGATTCCTATGAAGCAGTACTATTGCCTACAACTCGGTTACTTTTAGTTAATCAAAAACACACTGCATGACCAGTGGTAGTCCGATTCTCAAACAAATTACGCTATGAGTTAGTTATTTTTAGTGAAATCAGAAACATACAACGCGGTCAGTGCAGTCCGATTCTCGACAAATGAGTCGCATGACTTGGTGGTAATCTGATTCTCGAATGAATGAGTCTTATGAGCCTGTTCTTTTTACTGAATCAGAAACACAGTCAGTGTAGTCCGATTCCCAACGAATGAATCGCATCAAAAGCATAACACCACCAGTGGTAGTCCAATTCCCCAGTGAACGAGCCAATTATTTTTAGTGATTTAAAATGATACAGCATCTTTTTGTTCTGGTTCTTTTTCAGTGTACCAAAAGCAATTATAAATCCAACTGAGTCGGACTCAAAAAAATATATATATGTTTTTCTCTATCAGCTGCACAGCCCCAGTCCTCATTCACTTTCATTGTATGAAACAGAGCAGCGTGAACATTCTGCAAAACATCTCCTTTGAATTCCACAGAAGAATGAAAGTCCTACAGGTTTGAAACCACATTCAATTCCTTTAAGCAAACTAATGTTATTAAAGATCAAATCAGTAGTAGATTCACATTGACTCTATTCCGAATACATCCGACTCCCTTCCTCTTGTTTCTAAAGGTTCTCAATGGGGAGCCCATTATATGATGCCCTATTGATTATCACAGGCTCAGTCCATTATGAATAATTACTTGCCTTCATGGTGATTGCGCTCCCTGAGAATAATGAACAACACGTGAGAATGCAGCGTGGGCTCCTGTTGATCTCACGCCTCTCGTATTCACACACACACACACATGTGCAAGCACACACACATATAAACCTCGATTCTCCACTGCAGCATCGCCAAAGGGAGCTGCGCTCTCTCACGCACACGTTCCTCACACAATGTGAGATGGGATAAGATGAGATGACATTATCCGCACATCTCCCATCATGCCAAACGACACAGATGTGCCGCTGTCTGCGTGTGCTCTGGGACGCGGCTCGCGCATCTCCCTCGCCACCGTCTACTCCTTCATGTGCGTTGTGGGAACCGTCCTCAACCTCCTGGTGATCTATTTGGTGGTGACGTTCAAGAAGCTCCGCACAGCCAGTAATGCGTTTATCGTGAACGGCTGCGTGGCGGATCTGCTGGTTTGTGCTTTCTGGATGCCCCACGAAGCAGCGGCCACCTCCACTGGGACTTTTTTGGTGATTGGCTACCAGGCGTTCAAAGAAGCGCTGCTGTTTCTGGGAATCACCGTGTCGCTGCTCTCCCACTCGCTTATTGCCGTCAACAGGTATGTTTTGATCACCAAAACCCCTGCTGTGTATCAAAGCCTTTATCAGAAGAGAAACACAGAATGGATGATCGCAGGATCGTGGCTCATCTCCTTGGGCTCCTTGTTCCCGTGGATCACGTCCTTTCGGTACCCGCCCGAGAGGTGCCGGGACGCCGAAGACGCGTCGTTCGCCAAGGGAACATCGCTGTCTGTTTTGTCCAGTCGGTTTGCTGCTGGTACACTGGCGTTTACTATCATCGGACAGACTTTGGTTGTGGTGTACTGCTACTTTAAAATCTTCCGCCGAGTGCAAATAAGTGTGAAAAGAGTCAGTATTTTGAATTTCCAAATCGTGAACAACCTTCCTTATTCGTTCCCCAGAAAGGACAAGCGACTCGGTTTTTACGTTCTCGCAGTGTGCTTTATTTTTATTCTTACAACCGAGCCGATTTTTTGGGTTCTTGTCGCGGGACTCTTCATCCCGGTGTCCGTGGCGCTTTGGACGTCAGCGTGGATTGTGTTCTGTACTATATTCGTGTCCAATCCCTTTCTGTACACCTGGAAGAACGAGGAGTTTCGGAAGTCCTTCAGGTCTGTGATGAGAGGAGACTTCTTGCGGGGATCCACGGTTGGAGTCGAACCCATCACCATCAATACCATTTCTCATATCTTCCCCAGACAAAACAGCCGCAGGGCATTTCTGAGTGAGACGAACTGAGCTAGACCTGCGAAACCTTACGACTAGTACTGTGGCCAAATTTCGCTCGTGCCTGTCCAAGATGCTTCTACAATCTGCTGGTGATTTTTTTCAGTCACGATGAGCTGCATGTGTTTTACAGTGTTTTGTAAAGTTTTTGTAATATTTTTTGTGAAAGTACAAAAGTGTGAAGTGTTTTTTTGCACAACTGTGAAGGCTACGCTGCCAATTTTTAAGTGAGAAATGTTTGTGAATGTTCAAATAAATCAGAAAAATCCCAGCTTGTGTTGTTTCTCATCTTTATTTTTTTATATAGGTTTTTATCTAAAATGAATATTATGATTTAATATTACTTTTATATCAAATTAATTTAAGCGTTCTTTTAAAGTGTTTCAAATATATTAATAATCAAATAATTATATTTGAATTAATATTCATAGTATATTAATAATAGTATTATAAAATCCTTAATTTTTTTTATTTAGCAGCGTATTTAAACTTTTCTAAAAAGTCAATTATAGACAGTAATCTATATTCTTTTGAAATAACATTCATTAAGTGTATTATTATTATTATATAAAATGCTTATTTAATAGTGCATTTCAATTTAAGAGCATGTTTATTGTCAATAAAATTCCTATTTTATTTTTGAATTAGTATTCATAAAGTATATTAATATTGTTATATAAAATGCTTAATATTTAATAGTGCGTTTTATTTTAAGAGACTACATTTAAAAATGTCAATTATATTAATATTATACAAAATGCTTAATATTTTTTATTTAATAGTGCTTTTTATTTAACAGCATGTTTAAAAGGTGGTTATATTAATAGATTTTATTTGGAATTAATATTCATAGTGTATTAGTCATTTGTATCAAATATTTAATAGTGCTTTTTATTTAACAGCTTGTTTAAATGTCAATTATATTAATATATTTAATATATTTATACACCATTAAGATAATATATAATTTAATACCTTTGTTTATTTAGTAAAAGTATTAATATTAACATAATTTTTTAGTCTATTGTGTAAAGTGTGTTTTATTGTTTTGGGGGGTTTTTTGTACACCGCATACTGGTGAGATTTTCAGCTCCATTTAAATTGCCGAAATCTCTTGTTTTGTTCTTTTCTTTTCATCAAGCAATCACAATATTATACATTTTAATCTGTGCAAGAACATCAGTGATGTAGTAAAGTTCAGTGGAGAGAACGGGATTTTTGAACCCTGTTGGAAACACTGACATAGTGATAAAAAGTTCCATCCAGTCATATCCACTCTTAAACTCTCGCTTACATAATGCTTCGGCTCAATTGTTAAAAACCGAGGAAGCATCTGTGCAAATAATCTGAAAGATTAAACTGATTTGTTGAGTTAAAATGGTATAAATGCATTAAGTGGAAAACAGCATCATAAAACTTTGTTATAAAACATAATACAATAATTTTGTCATTTTAATTACATATGCTATACTTCTAAGAAGTCATTAAAATAAATCAGTTAAATAAATTACCACAGCCTCCACCGCCATGATTTGAGCTGCTGCTTGTAGATTCAGCTTTTCTGGGAAAAACCAATGATCTGCCCAAGTTTGTTGTATGCAATCAATCAGTCACTGGCAGTTCATAATGGAAATATTACCTTTAAAGTGCACACAAAGTAATTTCCTGTAATTGAGAAGAACCCCTTCAGGACAGCAGAGGGAGCCTGTGGAGGGACGGAGAACACAAAGCATTTAGGGCTGGGGAATTCCTACATGGCTTATATGGAGTGCTGAGGAGGTGGGTTACGATCCCTCCCCCTTCTCCTATAAATCAGATCCAGGGCTGAATGAAAGAAAGCACATTAACTCCGTTTTACTCTCTTGGAGCTCTTTAAAAGTTCTTCATAAGTGGACAGCATGAATTCAGCTTTACTGTTGACTTTGCTTCTACCAGTTGCAGGTAAGTTAAAGCTAAATGTCAGGATTTTAACGACGTATGCTGAGTAACCTGAATATTTGAACACAGTCTTACCATCTGCTCTTCTTTTAGGCACTGCAGCTTTAAGCAGGGTTAATATAGTTAACTTAAACTAACCTAAAATAAAACCATTAAAAAAAATTTTCTCTTACTTGAAATAATTGTTAACTAAAATAAAATTGATTTCAAATAAATATTTTAGCTAGTTACCAAAGCAACGTTTTTAATTTTAACTTAGTTGAATTTGAACTAAAATAACTAAAACAGAAATAAAAACGAAATAGACATTTAAATAAAAACGACTAAAAATGACAAAAGCGCACAACAAAATTACTAAAACTTTAAATAAAACCAAGATGAAAATATAAAAATAAAAACTAAATCAAAATAATAATGACTTTTTATTAGTTTTTTTATTTTTCGTTTTTTAAATGTAATTAATTTTTTTAGTATAATTATGTATTTTTTTTTAATCATAAAATAGTATTACCATTTTTATTCATCTACCTCCATTTTCTGAAAATTGATTTGACAATACAAGGCTCCCATAACCGCATATGCAACTTATTTGATATATTTGTATTTACATAATTGTACATTTTTAAGTTTCCTCTTTAGTTGCTTCATGGATGTGCCTTTTTAGTTAATGATGCACAGAAATTATAATAATGTAATTTTTGAACTACTTTAATGTTGTGAGCATTAAAACTAAATTCTCTATAAAAAAAGATACAACACTTTTATGATTTAATTACATATTACTCATAACTGCATAATTATTTTAAACCATCATTTTAAAAAAAGATTTACTGAGGAGTTAATGATGAACTAATGGGCAATGTTCTCTTGAATAGTTGTTTCCCATGTACTGGACCTGCCGTCTGAAGTTCTGTTCAAAGTGGGCGACAGGAGAGAGTTGACTTGCAGCGTATCATCTTGCCCAGAGAAGGTGAAGTTTGTTTGGACCTCATTAGAAGACAGACCGATATTCGCTGCTATTGATTCACAGGACAGAGAATCTGTGCTGGTCTTTGACAACGTGATGAAGAATCACGAAAACACCATAGTGTGCAAAGCAACCTGTGAAAAGGAGACAAAACAGGCGACAACAAAGATTAAAGTTTATTGTGAGTTCCTTTTATGTTTTCGATTTTATTAAAACTTCAGCAGGCTTCATAATGCACTGTTGGTGAAGACCGGGGTAAGTTGTCACACTTTTTACTTCAGTAAATATTTCTCGAGGTATGTTTAACACTGATTTACTTTATAGACTATTTAATGGATTTAAAGCAATTATGACTCAAATTAATTCATGTGAAAGCAAAAATTTAAAAGGTAAACATTGTTTTGGCCAATTTGTGTAATTGGACTTATAAGGTCCAAAACCTTATATCTATTGAAATATGTGACATCTTGCCCCGGTCTCTATGTTTTTATTTATTTTTGAATGCTACATATGAATCACGGGGAAAAAATAAATATCTACATTTATTTTATAGTTAGTTTTTTTCTTGTCGACTCATATTTAAATCTTGGAATCCATTTCAGCTTTTCCAAGAAACCCAGTTATATCCGGATATGATAGCTTGAAACTGGGCGAGGAAAATGTCTTGGGCTGTGAAGTGTCTTCTATACACCCTTCAGAGTTCCTTAAAGTGCAGTGGCTCTATGAAGACAAAGTTCTTCAGACTGATGAGGGAGAACCTGAGAGAGATGCATTTTCAGTTCATTACATATTCACGCCTTCAAGTGAGGATGATGGGAAGGCGATAACATGCAGAGCATCACTCGATGTGTATGGTATACCACCTGATGAGATGACCAAGGAGACGTCTGCACACATGACAGTTCTCTGTAAGCTACACTTACATATATTCACATCAACTATTTTTAAATTAAACCCAAAATGGATGTGGGAATTGTACATCCTCTCTGAAGAAGATGACCCCAAATGATCATTCGTTTCCCCATTGCTTTCACAGCTGCACCGCATAACGTTAAAGTATCTGGAGTGACTGTTGTCCCACTGGGATCCAGTTTAACTTTGACCTGTGAGGCCGAGGGCAAGCCAAAGCCTGCGTTTACATGGACGGCTCTTATACCAGGTGGCCAGTCTGTGGAAATGGGAAAACATCATGATCTCCTCGTACATAACGTGTCCTTATCAGATGCTGGTACTTACCAGTGTGATGTTAGAAATGACTTTGGAAGCCAAAGGGCCAGCGTTTCAGTAGTCGTTCAAGGTTAGTGGTTCATTTAATTCTTTAAATGTCTCATTTCGGGCAGAGCTAATAGCCTAGTTGGTAGCACTCCCGGACTTGTTGTCCTTTCCAGATCCTGCCCACCTCTCTCCCACTTTCTGGGAGAATACATACATGCAAAACCGCCAGAAAACTTAAAAATTTCTAATTTCGAAACATTGCTTTGTTCCCAAGTAATTAGGTTTTTAAATTTTTTGGCAGCACCTCCTATGGATACTCTCATTGTAGCAAGTCCACAATCCATTCTGAAGGAAGGAGACTCTGTGAGCTTTTCCTGCAAGTCCAGCGGAGTTCCAGTGACACACGTGGTGCTCAGCAGGAGGGTGAATGGTGTAAAAACAGAGCTAATGTCTAGTGAAGGGGCTGAAACATCAGTTGCCCTCCTCTCCGTCAAGCTGGGTGACTCTGGCATGTTTGTGTGTGAGGCTTTCAATGAGTATGGCAGGCAGGAGACCACTCTCAATCTAACTGTTGAAGGTAAGACCTTGAACGTCTGGTAATAGTGGATATTGTAAAGATTGGTCTGTTGAGTGCAGTTACAGTGTGGGTTGTAATGGTGTGTAAAATAGAAAGGCGGAATCAGTTGTAGTCTGTTATCTCCTAAAGATACTCTGAGAGTGATGAGTAACACTGATATTATGGTTCCTCGTTTTAAATATAAGCCTGAAGTTCAATGATCCGCAAATTCAGTTTGAGGCACCAAGTCAAATTTTCTCTTTTTTTTTTTTTTCTTCTCACAGCTCATTTGCTAGAAGTGGCGCTACAACCGGACGGTGAGGTCATGTCGGAGAGAGGCTCCAGCCTGGTCCTCTCCTGTCAGGCTTCAGGTTGCCCTCAACCCGAGTTCTCCTGGAAGAATCTTTCAAATATGCCGATCCTCAGGCGGCTTAAGACAGATGGCTTCCAGTCCCAGCTGTTTTTCGATCTAGTAGAGTTGGAAGACGAGGGAACTTACCTTTGTGAGGTCACATGTGGCTCAATCAAGAAGTCCAAACTAACAGAAGTGAAGGTGTTTTGTAAGTATCTCGAAAGGTTTACTATCCAGTCTCGAGTTTACGTAAAAAATTGCTTGTGTGGGGAAAAGGTCCTCTAGCATTATACTAAGTAGATAACTGGTTGATGAATGGAGAATGTATAATCAAGTTTTCAACATCTCAAGGTGAAATGTGTAATTTCTACATCACTGGCATCACCAGATGGAATTGCAAGACTGATTCGCAAAACTCATTGAGCCAATATTGCCGTATTTGGATAGTTGGGATGCTCAAACAGCAACATTTAATAAGAGACTCTTACTGTCAAGGAAACAGTTCCTTTCTTTCCCTTTAACTTCTCAGAGTGTGAGTTGCAATTAACCAACTGTTTAAACGTGAGTCATCTGTGAACAGTAATTCAGTCTCTTGAAATCCCTTTTTTAAAAATAGCTCTCTTTGACATTGATTTGATGCAGGAAATAAAGCATTAGGAAGTCTCTCAGCGGACATCAACTCTTAGAATGTGTGAGGGAGTATTGCTTTGTTCACATTACGTGTTGTGCTACATATTGACTCTGTCAGAATGATGACCAGCTGTCCTCATTCAAGGTTCTCCTTAATCTCGTTGTATTTATTAGTTGGTGTGTATCCTTGAAAATGCTTAGAAATTCCATTTTCTTCTCTTTTCAGCATTTCCAAGTCCTGTCGTAAAAAACTCTGGACCTTCTCTGGTGGGAGAGATAATGAAATTGACCTGCACTGTTCAGGAAGTTTTCCCGGCCAACCTTTTCCAAATCCTGTGGATGGATGGAGAGAGAGAAATGCATTCGGAAACTGGATCATTTTCAAGTGGTACAACAAATCTGACTTCAGTGTATTCTTACTACGTAGACACTGAAGACCAAGACAAACACATCACCTGCAAAGTTTTGCTGGAAATGCATGGTGTGCCAGCTGCTCAATCAGTAAAGACAGCATCTACTACATTGTCCATTCACTGTAAGTCAGGGTTGGTTGTTTATTTGTTCCTTTCAAATATGATTTTGTCTTGGCTTTTGTTAACATTGTGCTCCTTTTACAGATCCCCCGAGAGTGACCAGGATTACTGTGAGCCCACTGACAGAGTTAAAGGAAGGAGAATCCGTAAGCATTTCTTGCCTTTCCGACAGCTTTCCAGTGGGGCGTACAGTGCTGAGCAGGGTGGAGGACGGCATACAAACAGAGCTAATGGCCAATGATGGGCTTGAAACATTGTTTACCATCCTTTCAGTCGAGTTGGATGACTCTGGCATCTATATTTGTGAAACTTCTAACATGTATGGAAGCCACAATGATAGTGTGGAGATTACCATTAAAGGTAAGTTACTAATTACATCCAGTCAAAATCAATCAGTGGCCACAGTATCAACATGTTGTAGTGTTTGAAATATCAACAGTTATTTTAAATAAATTAAAAAATTTGGAGTGCCTTGCTCTCCATTTTGCCTTGCTCTCCTTTTCATCGAAATGGATAAATTTAGCTTCTACTGTACAGTGTTTTTGCTCTTATTAAGTGGATCCTGTCTAGGCAACTGACAATTATTATGCCTCTCTTATCCCAGCACCACCCAGGAATATGACAGTGGAGATCTTTCCATCCACGGATGTTCAGGAGGGGCAGAATATCACCATCTGTTGTCGCTCCGTGAGCTTCCCTCCACCTGCGGTGGTCCTCAGTAAGCTGGATAGTGAGAAAAATGTCTACTCTCTTGATGGTGTATTCCTACTGATCAACCTCACACCCAACGACACAGGCCTATACCAGGTCAACGTCACCAACTATCTGGGCTACGAGACAGAGATTTTTAACATCAATGTGATGGGTGAGTAAAACTAGTCATATACCAAATCAAGTTATTGTATTTCTGAGCACACTGACTACATAAAACATTCAATTTGTGAATTAACACCATGCCCAAATCAGACATGACACAACCGGACAAATTTTGCACAAGTAACTTGTTCAAATCGACTAAATCCCAACCGATCAGAGCATATTTGACACTTAATGTACATTTATGTAAAGTCTAATTTTGGACCAGTGAAATTTTGCAATGGCCAGTGGTACCCAAGTGCGACCAAAATTGCATACTGTGACATTTGACGAGGAACATACTTGTCATTGATATGTGATATCCAGCATCAGTTGGGTTTCTTTACTACCATGGCCTGATGGGATAGTAAAATGTCCATCAGATGCACACTTCGCAATCTCAGTGGAAATAGTAGGTCATCCTGGTACATTTCGCCTACTGTTTAATGAATACTTTGGGAATTTCACTTATATTACTCTTTTCACATTCTGTTTTTCAGTCACGCTAGACGACTCTAACCCGTCTCATTTTCATTCCTGTCGAAAATTTAATATGGGGCTACCCTGACTAAGCTCTATAATAGGGAAGTAGGCATATTCGCACGCAAGGCTAGACTGACAAAATGTGTCATCGTTTTTCTCAATTGTGTCTGGTTAGGACAAGCGAATCATTTTTATTTACAAACATTTTACAACATATTTCAAATTTGCCTTTGACTTTTCGTTACAGAGAAAATAGTCAACCCTCCATTAGGCTGGAATGATTTTTTTTTGGTGGATTGATTACCATTTGTATAACCACAGTTTTACTACAAATACTATGGTTAAACTATGGTTAGTATAGCAACCATGGTTAATTTGTGGTTATATGGTTTAACTACAAAAACCATTTGGTTTTATTTGTAGTAAAACCATGGTTAATTTTCATAAGGACGGTCGTAGTCTTAAGATCTGAAAAGGTCTTCATGTTTTTTTGTGTTTTTATTTTTTTGGATCTGTGGATTACTATTTGAGGATTCATATGTTTCTTTCCTAATTAGTGAAATTAAGATGAACAAACCCCTAACACTGGCCGCCATTTTTGTACTACAGATATAAATGATACCTCAAAATGTAGTTTGTTGAAAATGGGTGTTAAAAATCCAGCAAAATAGAACTTTTAAATCAGTTTAGACGCTATATTGAATTTAACACGGACAAAAAAATCCTAGGTCACATCATTTTTACAATTCACAACTTTCAAAACTGTTTAAAGGAGGTTTTGTCTAGTGAAGCTTTATCTTTTCAGGAAAGACGTTTCCGAGTATATGGTTAAAGTACAATCCGTTGAATGCACTGTACTTCTTTTCCTCACAGTTTTCAGTTCTGTCAAAAATTAAATATGGCGCAACCTGATTAAGGTCTATTATAATAGAAAGTGCACTTTTGTTTCAAACCAGAAACCGCCCAGAACTGCTTATCAACCACGTAGCAGTATGTCAAATCCTTAGCAACCACCTAGCAATGCCCTAGCAACCACATGCAGATTTTTTCAAGTTAATTTTCCTCTAAAGCACCATTAAAGTGAATCACAATATCATTATTTGCTTGTTTTTTGTTGGCCATTGTGGTGGTCCCTGACAGTTGCAGTGTTTTTTTTTTTTGTACTCTGTTTGCTTAGACGAGGGGAATGAACCACTGTGGTGACATTTAGCACAAAACCCCTCCAAGGACGAGAAAGATCGATAGTTTATACAGCTTGTGAAACCACCATTATTTTAAAAGCTTTCTTATGAAGAGTTTGTGCAAGAATGTGACACATTCTAACCCGAGGGCCCCAAAAAGCCCTTGCTTATGCAACCCTCCTGTGAAAAAAGAACAGCAACAAAGATTTGTGCAGAGTCCTGTCTTTTTTAATCACTTAAAGACACTGGTATTTCCTGCTTCTGTGTGGACACAGAACATCTCTAGAGCATAGCGGCTCTAAACGCCTCCACTCCCGCTTGTTTGTTTGATTGCCGTTTAAAGAAAAACAGAATATTTATGGAGATGAACCCCCTGGTTCAGCAGATGGCTTTGACCCAGGGTCTCTGTGTTCTTGCGGCGCATCCTTTGCCGATATAGCAGATCAGCAGCTTTTTTACAACGTCCCCAGTGCTTTGTCTTTTCTTAGAGATCTGTTGTGTTTTTATTGTTTCCCTTATATGTATTTGCATTTCTTTCGATGCTAGTACATTACAGATACACACAAACAGCACTAAAACTGCACACAGCTGCCTCACAGGTCCGTCTGTGTATTAAATGGTAGATGATCTCTTCCAAGAAAAGCAGTCAATAACATGAGGAATGTTTCATTTGGCTGGCAAGTTTATCAGTGCAGGTCAGATGAGTATTCTTTTCATCACTAACAGACTGTTTTATGCTGACTCCCCAAAATGTTGCTTTTGAACTTCAGATAGGCTGAGTGCTATGCAATAAAATACCATGTACTGTACTGTTTTGTAATTAGTTTTAGTTGATCAAAGCTTGGACTATGTCATGTAAGTATGGCAACAAAAAGATGCTGCTGTCGGTCTGAATATCAGCATGACTGTCATTTGGCCATAAGCATGCATACAACATATAAGAAATACTTATAAAAATGCTCTTGTTACAGTAGCAACACTCATATACACAGATGCTATGCATAGAAAAGTAGTAAATTAATGGAATAAAATTAATTTTTAAACAAAAATGTAATTAAAATATTTTCAATTATAAATAAATAAAAATATCTGCTAACTTAAATCATGGTGTGTTTGTCAAGTAATGCATAAAGTAGACTAAATTTCTGTGCATGATTTGAGCAGAGTGACACAGAGTTGACTAAAGCCGATTAGCTGTTATCGAAATTTCTGCAAAATTTAGGGTCTCACACACTTTCAAACGAAGTAGCTTTCTTTTTAACACAGCAAATTCGCATGACCAATTGAACCCGATGCAAAATCTGCGTGGGGAAATCTTAACTTACAGTTGTGTGGATTCCTATTGAAATGACTGAATTTCGCCGTGAAAATTTGCTGAACTGTAATAAATATGACCGCACATTATGTAATCATCAGGAGCTTGATTGACAGGTGATCTGACCAATCATAAATCCGTTTTGTTCCTTTCTCAAACAAACCAGACAGGAGAGTAGATTAATGTCGGTGGACTTAAACTTGAAAATGGTGTGTATTGACGTCTTTCCGCGGTTGAAACAAGATATCTTCTGATGTTCATTCATGTTTATTTCGTGCCATAACTAGTAAAGATGAAGAGATGATCGGTTCAGTGACTGTGATTTTACCAAGTACAACATGTTCCTGGATCAACATCCTTGTTGATCCTGGAACAACATTCCTATCAACCAATCAGAATTGAGGGATAACTTTTCAGGAAATATCTGTTTTAGGCTTACAATCAGGGTTAGGTGCTTCTACACCCTTGTTAATCAGCTATCATTTCACACTGTTTTTAGGAATAAATTATGGGTAGGGTTAGGTTTAGGGGTAGGGATTGGGTTAAGTCTATATTTTTGGACAGTTATGTTGATCCAGGATCAACAAAAGATGTTGATCCAGGAACATGTCTTACTTGGCAAAATCACGGCGACCTGATCGGTTCACGTGCTGAGGCGCTACAGCGATCTGTCACGACACATTAAAGAGCCACAAAACGCTATTTATTGTTTGAATTTCTTTAAAAAAATGACCCAATTTTAAAGTTAAGACTATGTTTCATACCAAAAGTAACCTGCTCTGTCTTGTCTTCCTCTTTGCGCTGCGATGTATTTATCACTGTGAGAGAACATGTGTGGCTTGTCGGACGTAGCAACTAGGGGGCGGGTTTTAGCGAAGGGTCAATTTCACTCCGGGTTTTCCCTCAACTCCAAGATTTCCCTGATAGAGCTACAAACCCAGCTCATAATGTGCGAGAATGCCTTGTGAGAAAACAATGGCGGCCCGATATATATATATATATATAAAACGCTCCTGCTGCGCAAAATCACACAGCTCGGCTTATTTTCACGAGGGAAAAAAGCCCGCGAAACAGCGTGAACAAGCACAAGCGGAGTTCAAACAAAAATGACCCAATTTTAAAGTTAAGACTATGTTTCATACCAAAAGTAACCTGCTCTGTCTTGTCTTCCTCTTTGCGCTGCGATGTATTTATCACTGTGAGAGAACATGTGTGGCTTGTCGGACGTAGCAACTAGGGGGCGGGTTTTAGCGAAGGGTCAATTTCACTCCGGGTTTTCCCTCAACTCCAAGATTTCCCTGATAGAGCTACAAACCCAGCTCATAATGTGCGAGAATTCCTTGTGAGAAAACAATGGCGGCCCGATATATATATATATATAAAAAACGCTCCTGCTGCGCAAAATCACACAGCTCGGCTTATTTTCACGAGGGAAAAAAGCCCGCGAAACAGCGTTAACAAGCACAAGCGGAGTTCAAACTGCGAAACGTCACAGCCTTCTTTTATTAAATATCACACGCGGAAAGCCATTAGAGCAATCAAATTCAGCGCGTGTTTTTGCCGTTATGAGTTTTTATTTATTTATTAATAATCTCAAGTATACGCAGTAGTAATAGTGATTCTTGCCTTGCTTCAATAATACAAACCCCACCATAGATAATTTAATGTAATACGCATGCACACATCAGTCTAGCCTATATAGATAAGCATGCATGCCTACATATTTACAAGAGTGGTCTATTTTTAATTCAAAATGACCTTGAATATCCACTGCCCTCTCTGAGCTCTGGCTCCATTCTTGTGAAACGTGTGTGTGTGTGTGTGTGTGTTTTCCACCTCAACACAATGAAAACATCAAATGTAAATCTTTTCATTGGCATTGGCTTTTCTTAAAATTTGTAAAGACATGATGCATAAATCTTGTGTCATTCCACAGGAAGCAGAGGTTTGCATAGGCTACTCATATCAGCATGTAGGCTATTCCGGAACACAGATTGACCCACAATACGGCTGTGTAACCTTCCTATGTATACGGGTTACATCTTGAAGACAGTGATAATGAAGACATACTTGGCGTTAACCTCGAGTTGCTAACCTCAGCACAAGCTCCAACCACAGTACAAACTGTGCTTCAGTTGTTCAGCCACTGTGAGGCTATGACCTCAAGAGCTGACTGTCAGAAAAATACTTTTAAAGACTTAAAAAGTAGTCTTAAAATTGCTGTTTTTGACCCTGATTATTCATTTTAACCAGAACATTTAGAAAACTGCACTGAGATTGATCATCATTAGTGATTATATTGCTTATATTATTTATATTGCTTATATTTAAGGTTCGTGGCCGCACTGTTTGTGCTACACACATGAATATCTCAAATCATTCGCTTTTTGAGAAGAAACTGTTATTTTTCTAACTAATTGGACTTTTGACTTCTTCGCCTAGTGGACAATAAACCAGGCCAAAAATCCTATAGACTTATATTGAAAGAGCCATATAGGCCTGAATGTTATAGTTGTCGCTTTTGAACTTGTAAGCAACCCCAGAACACCCATGCAACCATCTACCTTCCCTAGAAACCACATAGAAACATATTAAAAGCCATTAAGACAGCCTGGCAACCTCATAGGAAACACCAGAACATCATGACTGGCAAAGTATCACTCACATTTTCTTACAAAAATGTACAAATCTATAAAATGACTGGAAACAAAGTAATGATTTATGAATTAAAGCTAAGGTTTAAATACTTTTAAAATAACACTTAAAATGTCTAAATGTTGCTGCACATGCAAAAGAGCTGTTCA